ACTTGATTATCACACCATAATTTTAACATTGTTTCCATCTCAGCGATAATACCGTGACGTTTACGAATGATGCTTGAATTTAAAGATTGAGTATTTTTCGCAGCTTCGAGAATTTTTTCTTTACCTTTTATAATTGTTCTGACCGTCGATTCCGGTAGATCAAACTTCTTTTCAATTCACAAATTTTCATTTTTGTATCGAAGTCATTAATAATGTTAACTTTACATTCCGAAGATAAAGTTTTTCTTTTCTTGTTTGATGCAGAAGAATCAGTTCTACTTCGTTTGGATGACAGTAGAGTCTCTCAAGTCTCCGTAGATAAAACAAACAGAAATAAATAGCACAAAACAAATTGTAGATATGCGTCGATTCCGCGCGACACGTCCGAACGTGTAAGCTGAACAATAGTGTGGGGGGAGTGAGTAATCAAGAGTTGCGTGGCGCTCAAGCAAAAGACGAATCGGCGAGATTTGAAAATCGCGTAACTCCGGGTTCGCGTAAGTCGAGGTATTATTGTATTTTAAATTTTGATTTCTGCATGATTTGTTATTGAAGACTTATCTTCATTACTGTTTAGTTAAAGTACAATACTTCTTTGCTTCTATTATGCTGATTTATCCCTCAAAGAAAAACTTGAAATTTTATGGTGCTTAAAGTTGTCAAAAATGAGTCAATGCAATGCTGCTGCACTGTTAAAAATTGCATAGTCAGTCTTGTGGAGTTTGAAAAACACAGTAAATATTGAAATATCAGCATGAAAAAATGAGAACATGATTCTCAAGAAACAAGCCAACATCAAACTAATTCCAAAGAAAGAAAACCCAGAAAAACCGGAAGATTTTAGGCCAATCAGCCTTCTCCCGGTTATGGGAAAAATCTTAGATGGGCTGATTATTAACCGGATAAATTGGCACCAATACAAGAATGGACAAATGAACAAAAACCAATACGGATTCAGACAAGGGAAGTCGACAATTGACGCGGCACTAACAGCTAAAGAATTCATTACCAGTGCATGGAAAAAAGGTAAACACGCAATCCTGATAAAAATTGACTTTAGGAAGGCGTTTGACTACATGTGGTGGCCAGGAATAATGGAGAGGTTAAATGAAATTAAATGTCCACAAAACCTTAAAAACATATTGAAAAACTATCTTGACAATAGACAAGCTGGCTTCCACTCAAACAACATAACGATTAAAAAGAACATCACAAGAGGATGCCCACAAGGCTCAAGAAGTGGGCCAGGCCTTTGGAATCTGGCATTCGATGGGCTGTTGAACAAAATCCCAGACACAGAAGATACACACACACAAGCATTTGCAGATGACGCGCTGGTAATGATAGCAAACAAAAACTGTGACAAGCTAAGAGACGAATCCAACAAAATATTAGAGATAATCAATCAATGGAGCATTAATTACAAGCAACCAATTAATCACTTCAAATGTGAAGCTTTAGTATGCACAAGGAAGGACAAAGGAAACCAATTAAAAAAACCAATAGCAGTGNTACAAAAAAAAATATATATATATTGGAGTAGACCAAGATATAAGCGCCACAGCACTAGCAAAAATTTAAATTTGCCGACTGGAATGCTTTCGGTTAACCGACTTTCGGATAAACGACGCTCTACTGTACATTATTAGTATAGTATATCCCATGTAATTAGTATATCGCTATTAACCAACTTCGCGTTGAATTTTCATCGATGATAAGCCTAACAAATTTTTTTAAAGTAATAATTGTCGCTATTGTATCGTTAAAAATTATTTTATCGCTCACAAAACAACCAACCGCTCATAATTAGAAAATTAAGTCTCGTTTAAATACTGGCCTCCCTTCAATGGTCGAGCCGTATTGCCAGCTAAAACACGCAAAAATTTAACAAAAATAATATTAAAGTAGCCAAGACATAGCCAAATATTGTAGTGCCACATCACTAGTGGACATTTGAAATTTGCCGACAGAACGGTCGGTTAACATATGTGACGGTTAATCGATGCTCTACTGTATTACCTTTAAAATACAATTCTAATAATAATGAAATAACATAAGGTTATTTAATTTTAATGTGACAAATGTGCACGATTTTCTTTGCACAACTTTGTAAAATCTGGTTGCTTTTTGGTCAGCTTCAGTCTCAAGTCATCTTCGAGTTGAAGTCGGTGACGATCATTGGCATAGCCAGTTTTGTTATGGGGGGCCTAGTAGAGGCCAGCCTGACACAAAATTGAATTATTTCAAATTATTGTTCATTAAAATGAAATTTCCATAGGAATCGACAATAACTTAACACACATGAAAACTAAACATCACCACTGACGATGTTTAGTTTTCATGTTTGTCATGGCCGAAAATCCGCTCTCGCAGAGGTATGTTGTACAGTACAAAATGGTAGTAAATATTTTATTGCTGCTTCGCTGACATGATAATAATGATACTTGTACAATTTTTGTTTCTTGCGTAACAATTTAGGTATTGTCACAAATGCATTTTTAAAAATGAAATTTCGAGAATATTTTTAGTTATAAATAAACGAATTTGTGCATTCCACATCATGTTGTAAATTGCCGAAATTTTGATGGTCCCCCATTATTTTTTTGATTGCTTCATCTCATGCATTTAAATTTTAAATCGACCGATTTTAGATTGCCGCGCGTACCCCCAAGGATACGCGTACCACTAATTGGGAACCATTGATCTAGATGAATTTTTAATTTAAAAAATTATCAATTGGAATTGACTAAATCTTTATTGAACACTTTCTGTAATAGCTCTCTTCCATTATCACCATGACAATTACGGATGCTAATAATTTTTATAAACATGTGAAACTTTACATTTGCATCCATGCCGATACCCCCTTTGTACATTTAATTATATCTCGTTGTTATAACCACCAAATTTTTAAAAAGAAAATAAGTACTTTGGTATTTTACAATTCTCTCTTCTAGTCAGTAACATACGTATTATACAAATCATGTATTTAATAATAATTCTACAAAATTTAAATGATATATTTAAACAAGAAACCGTAACAGCCATAATTAAAAACGATTCCACTTACAGAAAACTGAGCGAACTTACTCTAATGGACACTCCTTCCGATCTCGCACCGTTTAATTTACACATACTTGGAATAAAGAATAACCACACTTGAAACTATATTAACAAAATAAAATCATCCCATTTTTATGGACACAAAAAAAGCACAGCTTCATTCTTTGCATGTAATACTTTAACAATAATTTTCAATAATAAACGTGAAACAGGAAAATTAACTTTAGAATTAAAAAATTAAAATTATCTATATATATATTATGGTAATTTAAATTAATCTAAGGTTAGAAAATATTTAAAACGGGCAGTTAAAATTATATTTTATCCGAAATATTCAGTGATGACGATAAATGTAAAAATCAGATTAGCATTGCACAAGAAAGGAACTATTTCACTTTATAAACATACAAAAACAAAAAAAGCCTATCAACTTTGATTTCACTTTCTTAGAAAAAATACAAATTTTGTACTTTGGATAGCTCATTCGGCAATTTTTAAAAATAAATTTACTATTTACTTAAATCACTTTAGCAACCATAATCATATATATTAGTAATATGTATAAAAGTCTACCTACGAAGTAAATTAAAAAAAAAATCAAATGTTAATTTAAAAACTGATCAGATAGTTCTAAAATATATGAATTATTTTGTTTTAATATGATTTCTTAACAAAACAAAAAAAATTTATAAGAAATAACAAATGGAAATATATAATTTGACAATTTATTAATGCACATCTAGACATCTCATTATTGAACTGTAGAGATTTAGAATATGGGCATCTTTTTTCCTTTTTTTTTTTTACAATATGCCTCACTGCAAGCAACACCCTAACCACAAAACTGTGTGTGTGCGCAGTAAGGTAACAAGATATTCTACATAAATTATCCCCACAACTAAAAATGACATAGTAATACAGATATTCAATCTAATATAAACCATGAAGTCATGAAATATATATTGATGATTCTTTAAAGTGTCCTTTCCGTTTTTTTTTTTACTGAAATAAAATTCCAATTATTATAAATTTTTCTACAGAAAGATTTTTTCTAAAATACATCATAATAATATGACTGCATACATGAAGAACTTTTTATATATAAATGATTGGCTGCTGTAGTTTGATTACCTTTGGTAACTTGGTTACCAAAATGTCAATTATTTTTGCACAGGTGGGGCAATCCAGTGTAGAATGATTGGCAGGTATCGAAAGATTTTATACGTACGTCAAAGTATTTCATGGCCAGATTCAATTTACAAGCTCCCTAACATAAATTCAAATCACAATATCAGGGCACGTTTCTTCCCTTGTGGAATGCTTTGTAAGCATAAAATTATTGAAGTCATATTCCAATGAATTCTTTTCATTCAAATTCATTTAATTCCACATAAATTCTATTATATGTTCTGGAAAGCAGTCTCTTGTCATTTATGTTTATGAGAATTTCTCGCCACAACTTCACTTCTTTTAATGACAAACTAATTTTCAGATCTGTACAAGTAATCATTTCGACTTGCACACATCTGTTATGACTGTACACAATGTGTGTAACAAGCAACAAGTGTTCCAGATGCAAACAGGCAAGGATCTTACATACATATATATGTATATATACGTATGTACGTATATATACACATATGTGTTATTTTTATTTATTTATTTATATATATTTATATATATATATTTATATTTATATTTATATACAGTAGCACTGTGTCTTGAGTAATGCTATAGGAGAAGTAACAAATTTGAACAACAAAAAGGTGCATATTCTCATCTTTGCAACAGTCCACTCCTGAAAAAAACCATTCTGTTAACAATCAAATAGCTTCTTCCAAGTGTCTGGCCTCATCTAGTGAGAAATACATGAAGAAAAGGCATAAAATGCCTTGAGCAAACTTGGTAAACAGTATTCATCTCTATTTCTGCAAACTTGAAATTCAAGTTACAGACTGGCAGATGCCAAAAATTATCTATACCTGTAAATAAAATAAACATATTTAGACATTCATATCAATTTTTAAATAACATATTAAATATCATATTTTATAAAATATTTAAATGATAAACAGTGTGTGAAAATGTGTTTGTAGATCAAAATTAAATATCTTGCTACAACCCAGGCAAAAAGAATTTGAACATCATGAAAAAAAAATAAAATTTTTAAGTTTTTATTTAATTTTCTTGTAAAATAATAAGCTCAATGTTCAAAACAAAAATATGTTTCATTCATTGGATTAATAAATGTTTATCAATTTAATTTCAAATAAATAAACCAAACCATTTTTCAAAAAAAAAATAAATAAATTATTTTTACATATAAAACAGCATTTAAAAAGTTTTTGAACATACAGGAAATTGGGAAAATGTATTTGAACACTATTCTAAATTTACACATTTGAGCAATCTAATTTGAATGGAAGAAGCCATTAGCTTTAAGTGATGTGTTTGTATCATTTTCTAAGTAAACAGTAATGTTTACCAGTCTTTGCTTAAACAATGGTCTCAATCAATGAATAAATAAATTATAAAGCTATAAACATCCACCAAAACCCGATGCTTGGCAAATAGACACCCATGATTACCATAAATAATTGGGCTATAATTTGGAAATATTAATTATGAATTACAAATAAATTTGGCACTAGAGGTGGTGTTAGGCGCCATCTGGTATTAAATTTAATAATTATAATATTTAATTAATTAATTTAGAATAAATTTCATAAGAGATGGCACCTAACACCTCCCTCTAGTGCCAAATTTATTTGTAATTCATAATTAATATTTCCAAATTATAGCCCAATTATTTATGGCAATAGTGGGTGTCTGTTTAAATTATAAAGTTGCTACATGATGAAAAAAAAACCAAAAAACAAGTTGCCACATATGTAGATGCATCTTTTAGGAAATGTAAATTACACTTGGCAAAAGTTTATAGACAAAGGAGACAAAAACCATCAAGGCTCAAGATCACCTACTGAAAAAAATACATTTAAAAAAATCAAAAAATGTCTTCCAACAACCAACAGACTGCCGAAAATCTATCGGGCTAGTTTTATGCTAATTATTAAATAAATTACGTAATCAACTTGGTACTAGAGGTAAGCGTTAATAACCGTCGATGGTTAAGTAGTTAGATTATATACGCTGGAAGAGGAGATCGGATCAGAGGTCCGGGTAGCGTAACTGGCAACGCATCTGCACGGTAAGCAGGAGTTGTGGGTTCGAGTCCCGCTCCGGGCCGATTTTTTCTCCCAGCGGTTCCAAATTATTTAAATTAATTAAAATTGTTTATAATTATTAATATTAATAAGAGATGGCGCCTAACGCTTACTTCTAGTACCAAATTGATTACGTAATTTATTTAATAATTAGCATAAAACTAGCCCGATAGATTTTCGGCAGTCTGTTGGTTGTAGCTATATTATATATCGGGTTGGAGATGTTTGTAATGTCTTCCAATCAATTAATTGTGAAATGGGAGAAAAATAAATGTTTGTGACAGAACAGTAAGAGAATGAACACAGGATTTTCATTTAAACACAGCCAAGGAATAAAAAAAACAAGCATTTAAAGGGCAAGACAACACAAAAATTAAAAAATAGGAGACAAGAAAAAGGTTATCTGAGAAATTTAAGAAAGATTGCCTGAATAGGAACACCATTTTCAACAAATTTAATTATTTGGGGCTACATGTCAGTTGAGGCATTATTGAATCTGAAAATATATGTATTCTTAATATAGCTGTAACAGCAAAAGTGTATGAAGGAATTTTAGAATCATTTCTGACTCCACAATTGAAAATCACTTTGGTGATGATGTTTTTCAAAATGATAATGTTATTCCATCAAGCCAAATGAATTAAAGAATTTTTGTAGTTTTTTCTAATTCAATGTCATGACTTGGTGCATTTATCGACACTTGGCAAATAATTTCATCATCCACTTTTAATTCATACAGATACGCGTTTCGGGCTTTCGCCCCTCTTCAGTCTGTTACATGGATAGGTTGTATCTTCTGTATACAGTATTTGTCAGGCACCTTCCGGACTTCCCACTTCCCTTCCCTTCCGACTTGACGGCCTCCCCCACATGCCTCGTAACTTGTAACGTCTCACTCCCTGAGTGCCACACACAGCCTCACCTGCGACTGTATAAACATTCTATTTTAATAACTGTAGCCAGTTTTTATGAATGTCAATGCTTAGATTCTTGTTAATATTATTTTTGTCTGTAGTAATTTCATAGCTTTCCTTGAATTTTCTTTTGTACCAATTTTTTCCTTTGTGTACTATTATAACATCATTCTTATCTATTTTGCAGTTGTGGGTTGTGCAATGTTCGTAAAAAACAGAGTTGATTCTATTATACTTCAGGTCCGCGATGTGTTCTTTTAGTCTTGTTTCTAATTTTCGTTTTGTTTCTCCAATGTATACTTTTGGCGGTTCACATGTGCAAGCTATTTTATAGACGACTTTGGTAGTGTCTGGTTGTTTATTTATGCCAGGTTCAGCCTTCCAAATTCTTTTTTGCAAGTTGTTATAGTTGGGGCTAGCTTTATATTTATTTTATGAAAACTTTTGTTTACCTGTTCAAAGAAGCCACGAATGTAGGGGAAGGAGTAAGATACATATCCCTTATATATCTTACTCTGTTTTTATCTTTGTTTTGTTTATTTTCCAGCCTTTTATTGTTGATTTTACTTCCCAGTTATTTATTATTTGCTTTGGATAGCAGTTTAATAGGAATTTAGTTTGCAGTTTGTTGAGGTGTTTTTTCTTCTTCTGTAGTGAGCTAGTTCTGCTCTCGATTTTTTTATACTCCATGATGAATATGTTTTCTTTTATGTACTGTGGAATGTTTAAATTGTAGTTTAGCACTTTCCTGATCTCGCATGGTTTTGTGTATGGCTTGAATTCAATCTTGTTTGCCTTTCTGGTTATTTTAAATGTCGAGGTAATTTATTTCCATGTTTGCCTCATTTTCTACCTCAAATTTTATGTTATCGTTTAATTTGTTTATTTTTTCTTCTATTTCTTCTAATTTTGTTATTTCTTGGTCATATAGTATAATTATGTCATCCACATATCGTTTATAGAACTTTATGCCTGTAATCTTTTTGATTGCTTGATCTATATCTACCATAACAAATTCTGCTAGCTTCGGGCCTATGACTGATCCCATGCTTATGCCTATCTGTTGTGTGTAGAACTTATTGTTGACTTCGGAATAATTACTCCTGTATACGAATTCTATTAGATCCACTTCTTCTTCCTCTGTTTCAATCTTTTTCAGTGTACTTTCTATTAGATTCCAGGTTATCAAAGGGTACATGTTTATTATATCATGTTTATTATATAAGTTTGTTTGCATGTCCATGAAGTACAGAAAGTACTTCATGTATAATGCATTGGTTAGTGGTTGCAGTGAGTCTTAATTATCATTATCCCAGTGTAGTAAGCAGATATCTAAAAATTTTCTAATTAGTCTCAGAAGAGAAGGGACATTCTTGAACTCAATAAAACGGATAAAATCAGCTATAATCTAATAATCTTAATCTTCATTATCAATACTTATTTCCAGAGCAATGCCAGGCTCATCTGTTAGTCATTAATAAGTTTGATATATGAGCTATATACTACATTGCTTTTAAGTAATAAATCTTTCTGATAAAATAGGTGACAGAGGTATAATTAATGTTAAGAGTTCTCAAAGAATATTCTTTTAGACTGATTGTAAATAGAATTAAAACTATTCCTGGCAAAAATAATTAATCATGCATAGTTATTTTTGGTAAAGTTAAGAATGAAGCTCCAAGTGGCTGAGGATCATAAGCAAAACATTGAACAATTTTATATTGTAATTTATATTCATTCTGATATGTTTTGGTCATAACTAAATATATAAGTATATAGGCTTTCTAGAATATTGTTATTTTCTCCATATCTTTCTGATTTAATTTCTCAGCTTCTTTAGTTTATAGGAATGCAATTCAAATGTACAGGTGTAGGGGCCGAGGGGGAGAGAAACTCAACGAACGATAATAGGCGATATATATCGTCGTCGTTTCCCTTGCCGTTGGGATTGCAGAGCGGTAACAATCAACAACATGTGGAAGCAGTTGAGTCAGAGATAGATGCTTCATTTACAAACAACACAACCATTTATTAAACACGAAAGATGCTTACAAGATTTCCGTGATCTTGGAAGTTCTGCGGCGGCTGCGGCCTCTGGGTCTTCCTCTCCTTTCCAAGATAGTCCCATTTTAAAAGTGTGTCCCTTGTTCGCGAACGAACCATTCCATCACGTCTCAACAACTCTGGGATGATGCGGTTGACTTCCGTTGATGGAAAGATGTTGATCCGAGGTCGGGAGGTGGAGACGAAGATGGGTGCGAGACACACACCCAACAACAGGTCCGTCACTTGAAACTTTCAGGAGAAGAAGCCGTCACGTCCTCGAATTTCCGGGGGTTTATCCGTTTTCTCTCAGATTCCCCTTTACGATTGGTCTCTCCTCGTCACCTGATGACAATTCGAAACCTTTCGGGGGTGCGGGAGAGGTCAAAATCGAAGTTTAATTCAATCTCCAACCGGAAATGGTCGACGGACTTACATTCTTCTATTGTTTAAAAGTTAGCATCGCATTTTCATAAAATAAAATCTATCTCTAACTACTATATATTTTTTCCCTAAAACAATTATTTTAACGTGAATTTTAGTGAGGGTTCAGACCTGTCCAGAGCCTCACACAGGTATAACTCATATAACATGATAGTTACATTCCAAAAAAGTGCTGTTATGTGAATTCATGCTATTTGAAACAAAGGACTAATGCACTGTATTACACGCTAATATTAATTTTAGTTAAAATGAGAGCGTTTTTTTTTTCACCAAGTATTGTCATCTCAGCTTTTTTATTGATCTTGATCAGAAATAATCAGCAACATTTTCATACTTTTTATTTTTATCAAAAAAAAC